CCATAATTTCTTTCTCTTTTTTGTTGCTTTTAATGTTGAATTTTTTCATATCATATATATATAGAGAGAGATAGATAGAGAGAGAGAACTTGTTTCTTTTTTTTTATTTTCTTTGTTTTGGTTGGAAGCTTTTATGAATTTATATTACATTAAAAAAAATAAAAAGAGGAAATCTTAAGGATTAATTGCTATAAGATACGATTAATTTCATTATATCATCAACAGAATATACATGTCCACATCATATACTCATCAATAGAGGATAGGCCATGAGTAATTTAAAGTAATTAACTTTCTATTTCTTGCTTGACTTTTTAGGGTCTTTGACTCTTGACCCATAAAAAAGTTGGTAACTCTATTTCTCATTACAGTAGAGAAATCAAAATAAAAAGAGATAAAAATCACTTATATATATATATTTAATTAAATAAAAACTTTATCCATTCACTTATATATATATTTTAAAATAGATTTTTATTTTAGTTTTTTGAAAAATAAAAAATGACAATAATTTTTTTTAATGTTTCACTCTCAGTATTAAATACTTTTATTTTTGAAGACATCATTTAATAGGAATAGTAAAGTAAAATACATATATCAATAATTATTTTTCTTAATGAGTCTGTATCAAGTCAAAATGTGATTGTTAAAAGTGAACCGATGGATTATATAATAATTATTGTTCTTATGAGTATATCAAATTAAAATGTGACAAGTAAAAATAAATGGACGAAGTATGTAATAAAATATTTTAATTAGTAATAAATTCTATTTTTTAGCCTTATGATATATGATTACATATATTTAACCTTTAATTTGTAACTAATACTTATATTAATAAATTATCCTTGTATCATTACTGCGTTGGAGGATAATATATTTCTAGTAGATCAAATACAGCATATTTTCTGTATAAAGGGACGTTTTGGTTTTGTTTAGAATGAAGACAAATGTTCTCTATAGGAAATAATTAACGTTTACTTACATTTTTGTATTTGATAAGTAAAGAAAAATATTCCTTAAAAATATTTATATATAATTTAAATAAATATTATGAACGACGAAAGTAAGAAGTAGCTACAAGGGTAGAGTGAAGAGGGGGCACCATCTCCGTAAGCGGGCTTTGTTTGTTTATTAATTAATTAATTAATTAATTATTATTATTATTATTATAATAATAATAATATAAATAATGTGGAAAAAAACAAATAACTTATCTAGCAAATAATTAGTTATTCCCAATAAATCATAAGTACGAGATTATTTGATATAAAACCTAAGAAATCTATGAAATTCAGTATTACTAAGGAGAAAGGAACTTTTCCTAAACTCTCGAAGCAAAAGCCTCGGTCGCAGTTGCAAGTAAGTACCAGTAATATCTTTTTAGTCTATACTATATAAACATACACGAGCAATAAATATAAAGCGAGTAAATACATAAATCCAACGAGCTTTAATTATTGATCCTTCTAAAAGCAATAACGAGATATAATTCTAATTATTATTTCTAAAGTTGTCAATATAGGTTATAGCCCACCTCATCCGGCTAATTCATACAGGCTTCGACATTTTACGGGTTAGATTGGGCTAGCCCATTTTTTGTGTGGATCGAAAAAATGATCAGCCCAACCCACAAGTACGTGGACTACAGGCTTGTCGGGCCGACAAGTCCACTTTTTAATAAATTATATTTTTTTTAATTATTAATTTAAATTATAAATTATAATTTAAAAATATTATCATAAATAGCGACAAAACAATATTACATGATGTTAATGTTACTACTTGTTAATCAAATTCACAAATAAAATTATATTTATATAATATTTATTAAGTTAAGTTACCAGTTTTAAAAAAATATTAAGTTTTTTCAAGTATAAATATCTAAATAGAAATATTAACCTGATTGTATTGAGTTTAGACTCTCTTTAATTTTAAATTTTAATATTATATTATATTTTTTAATTAAATTTTATTGACCCACGGGCCGCTCCTACCAATATTTCTCAAGTCCCTCAAATCAACAAGCTTATTCAAGCGGGCTAAAAAATCCTTTTCTCTCCAAAAATTTTAGTTATTAAATCCTGAGTTATGCCAAATCGGCCCAAAGGACCTAACCTATATTGACGATTCTAATTATTTCTCTACCTATTAAATAAATCATCATTAACATAACAAATAAAACATGTGTTTTTTGAAAATTAGCCATACCGCTAATAATATTATAACATGTCTTAGATGTATCAAATTAAATTATTAATATTACAATTATTTCAAAATTTTCAACACTAAATCATTACGAAGTGTAATAAAGATGAAAAAAAATAGCCAATGACCATTATATCTATAGAAACAAAATTGTATAGGCTCCACCAAAATAATAGTCAATATTTAACATAAGAATGCAATTATTTCAATCGACCAATCAAATATGTAATTGTCCCTTTATTCTAGGTGAGTAAGAGTGACAAATGAGCGAGTCGAGTCTAATATGAGTAAAAATTAATTAAGTTTTTCTTTCATAAAAATTGAAGTTTTTCTTACCATCTCAACTCCTTATCAGCCTCCACCACTTTTCTACTTTTTATGAGAAAACATATTTTATCTATTTAACTATCTATTTTTAAATAAATAATATGGATATTATTCCATTTTAAAAGAATTAGTTACTCAAACCATTTAAAATAGATAAATATGAGTGAATCATATAATTTAGACCCATTCTGCCACCATGTGAGTAATTGAAGTGAGCGAACATTATGAAGTTGGAGTTAAGAATGTGGGCTGCGGTAGACAAAATGTGAGGGAAGGGCCACAAATAAGGCCCAATCCATTTTTCTAATGGGCCAATCTTTCATTTGCCTACCATTGAGCACTACCCCATGAGCAACAATATTCAGAGCATCTTTTAGCTTGACAATTATCATCATGGTAGAGAAAATACGCATACTATTTGAAAATTTCATATATGGCAAACGTAATTTATAAAATAATATTATTTGGGTATAGTTTACATAATTACATTCTATAGGTATAGTTTAGTTTGTTATGTATTTTTTAATTTGTATAAAAAGTTTTCTTTTAATTTATACAATATTTTACTTTTTAAATTTGTTATGTTAATATTTTTTTTATATATCTAGGAATTTCTATATTGCACAATACTTTAATATGTGTATTATATTTGTAATATGTGGATATGTAATTTAGTGGTTTTTTTAAAAAAAATTAATAATTAAACTGATTGTATAATATTCATTTGTTAATTATATATGTGATAAGTTTGAAATTTATTCGTATATTTGAATATGTAGTGTTTATATATACAGTATTTTGTCATGTTCATAGTTTTTTTTATAAATCCACAAATTTGTATAATGTACTATAATTTTAAGTGTATATTATATTTGTATTTGTGCATATGTAATTTTGTGTTTTTTTTTAATTAATGATTAAACTAATTGTATAATATTTTCATTTGTCAAACGTATATGTGGTAATCTCGAAAACTATTTTAATATACAACTGGTAATGTTTATATACAAAAAGGTGTGTTGTAGTTTATGTATACATACAACTGTGGACAGTTTAAGTACAGAAGATGGTGTTGCAAAATGTTTGTATATGTAATTGTGTAGTGTTTATATACAAAATAATGTGTTGTATTCTGTTATTTGCGAAAAATATTGAAAGCTACAAATTTGGCAGTTATCTGTGAAAAGCGGGAGTACGATTGGAGGGAGAAGTCGAAACTTTTTTCAATTCTAGATTCAAACTAGAAGAGGGAGAGTGATTTTAGGAGAAAAATATGAAATGAGGATGAGAGAGATAAATTGGATTTTGTATAAAATTTATACAAAATTATCGGATGGCTTTTTTGATTTGGTATAGAAATAGGTAGGAGTCCCATTACTTGTGACCAAAAAAAAAAACTGAAACTATATTTACTGATAGTAAATAAATTAAACTATACCCTTATAAATTAATTATGTAGGAATGTTTGTCATTTCACGTAATTTTTCTTTAATGATTTTAGCTACACTTGTAAAAAAATTACATTCTGTAATTGTATTTTACTTCCTTAGAATTTTTTTTCTAACTATAACAAAAACAACTATTAGCGATAATAAATATGCACATTAACAAAGAGTGTTAAAACATTTTATTTGCACTAGTGGATGAAAAATTATTTAAATTTACAACTCAAGATATCATAATCTCTAAAAATCCCTACCATTCAAAAAATATTACAAATTCTATCTCGAATACATCTCTATCCTATCTTGAATATATCAATATCCCCCTCGGATGCATCCCTCCCATTAAGAATGTATCATTTGTAATGTATCAGACAACCAAAGAATGTACCCCAGCACCCAAATGTATGAGATTTCTATAGTTTTGCCTTAGTTAATTGTCATTGGGTCCAATGTCGCCATAGGTTTTACGACACTTACAAAAAATGTTAATTGATTTTGGAAAAATATATTTAACGGCTATTAAACTATTGCCTATAAAAATCATTTTTTGGTGTATGTCTCTCTCCTCAATTTCCTTTATCTCCGTCTCTCAACCCCCTCTCTTTGTAGTATGTGTTTCGTTGTGTGATACTCCTTAACAAAGACATAAAATTCATTAAATTGTATCCTGTCATATATATATAAATACACATAAATAAATATTTGTATCAACTATATCACTTTAACGTTCGTATCAACATACTATATGGAGTATCATTTATCAAGCTATATTAGGTTATATTTCCATGAATGATACAAGAAATATGATTATTGAATTTGGATGAGAAATATATTATCAGTTCTTCCCATTAAGTAAATTTGGAATCATCATATATAGAAGCCATTGGAGTTAAGTTGACAAAATTAAAACATACGGGGTACTATTTTCATACTCATTATATTAGGGTGCGGCCTCTTCTCATCATCTCTGTATAGAAGGAGAATAGCTTGTAAAATTTGTAGGAAATAGAAAGGGGATGAGTGTTTCGAGGAGGTGTTGGAGTGGGTGGTGTGGTAAGATTTCATATTTATTTTCCATAAAAATTGAGATCTTGCCAATACCGCCCATTCCTATGGCTTCTGATCATTTCTCTCTTTCCTTTTTCTTCCCTTGTTGAATCTGTTGCATCATAGCTCTAAATCCTGTTGATTTTTTTTTCCTTTTGTTCAGTTATGGAGATTTTAAGTTGGTGATTGGTTCATATGAATCTGTTGCAACTCTTATATGTACGAAGGATGTAAAATTTGCTGAAAAACATGATGAAAGCTGGGATTGTGCTCAGATCTAGTTTTTATTTGAGAATTTTGAATGAACAACCATCTGATTGAACAATATTCAGGATTTAATTCTGCTTAAATTAGATGCATTTAATAAAACTCATATTTTTCCTAATGAATCTCTAACTATACGATCTCATCATATTTGACTATGAGTTCTATAATTATGATAACATCAACTCAAAATTTCTCCTTGAATGGGTCTGCTTTTAGTTGCTTAAGGGACATAACAAGTTTGGATTTGGTGAATTTATATAATGAACTTGTGTCAATCGATCTAGTATTATTTCTTGAATTGCATGCCCTCCCTGAAGAACTTGAATGCCTCAATATCAATCTTATGTATATTTTATCTTTGATTGGTGATATGCTGTTTTATTGTAGTTGAAAGGGGATTGCCTAATTGCTGAACTCAAAATACACTTGTTAATTTAGTTTATTTGTACTTCCCTTTATGAATAATGGTTGCTGCATTTGGTTAAGCTATAGTTTTAGATAATTGCATTCAAGAGAATATACTTAAACTTCATCATTCAACACAGTTGCATGCTTGCATCAAAGAAAAGGCAAACCATGGTTATACCCTATGTAATCTTGCTATCTTTTTGGATCTGACTGACTTGTTTCTATATTTTTATTGGATAATATTCCTTTTTCCAAATTTCATGTGTTAGTCAATATTTATGATTGAGGTAGGGGTAAGTTTTGCGTAAACTGTTCTTCCTAGACCGGGTATTTTGTTGTAGTAGTCAATATTTCTTACAAAATCGATAATTTCTCAAAATTATGTTTTTTAGGATACTTGGTGTGTCAAAGCATATCACTCTCTAAACTTTCAGTTAGGTGCTCCATATATAATTGGTGGTTATGCAGAATCTGCAACTAGTCTATGTCTCTCTGTCCTATTATATTCAGAACTGGTTATCTTTGGAACTCTCTTTGACAGCTGAAGCCATTGATCTTTGGTTGCGACGTAGTGTTACTCATTTTCACCCCTTAATTTCTTGAACTTCAAACTTTTTCTGATTTGTGTCTGCACTCATAAGGAAACAATATGTTTATGTTGCTGGCATACACTTCCACTGAGAAGTTCAAGTGTGTACCTTGTCCGATGCTTCAATCATGGCTATACTGTTCTCGTGTCATTTGCAATGATTTGGTATACAACTTTTAACACTTTTGATAAAGATATGTATGTATACTTGTACTTATTCCATGTCAAATGTTGCAGTAATGTTATCCTACCTTTCACAAGACTTACGATTTACTTCAAAATTTTATTTCAATAGATGTTCTTTTACAGACATTTTTGCTTGAACGGCTAAGATTGATTACTTCAAGAATCATGCTATAATCGTGACATTTTGTTTGTCATGATCACGACAATCGTTTATCGAATTAAATTTGACAGGTAAGACAAGTTCTCTTTGAAGTTCCTTGGTGGACCAGAGCTTATTGTAAAGGTTATAGTGCAGCTGAGAAATGAAGAGCTAAGAACGTCTAAGCTATCACTAGATTTTCTTTTTTCCTCTTGGAAACCATCAAAGATTTCTTTGCTGGTCTGTTTCTTTTGACATCTGATTGGAGATTGAGAACCAAACTCTATGTTTGAACAATAAGAGTTGCTGTATAGATCCTCATTTTTCAATGTTTCTTGTTTATTGTTGTGGCCTTCTCCTGGTGTGAATAATTGTACTATGGGTATACAGTTAGCTGGCTGACGGCAAAGAAATCACATCAATCAAAAAGGTATATTACGACCCATATTCCAATAAGCCGCGATGGCACCTAACCAACCCGTCAAGAGAATCAATCGACACGAATATACCCAGAATGGATTGGAACTTGAGGGGCTCAGATGGGTTTCAACATTGTAGGCCGTAGCGCAGTCAGAACTAGTCGAGTTTGACTGGATGACTGTGCACCAACAGTAGTCAAGTGCCATCGACAATGCGCAGTGCTGCTAAGGTCTTGCCTAGGTATTTCAAAGTCGAGTTGAGTATTTTCATTTCTTTCTTCACTATTTTAAGACATGAGGAGCTTGATTTTGAGAGGCTCTAAGCGAGGATTTCATCTATAATCTTGTGGTAAGTGATTCTAACTCAGATTTGAGATTATATCATGAATCTAACCTACGGTCTATCATTTGAACATGTAGTCAAAGGTGGAAATATCTAGAGTCAACTAAATCTAAATTTGAAATGGAAATCTAAGCATCTAAAATCTAGGAAATTGTTCTTCAAGACTGATTTGAGCCCGGCTGAGAACTAACGAGGCCGTAGGAGTGTGTTTAAGCAATTGAGCATTTCAAGAGAAAATATTTGATCTTCACTAGGAAGTGAAACTTTAACTCTTTAAGTTCCTTATTTTTCATCATAGAACATATCTTGTTTCTTGCTTGTCTACATTTAAACTATCTAATCGTCTATGGAGCTAGCATGAGTTAGATTACTCTGTTTTGAAGTATCATTCATAGACTGCAGAGGGTCCTAGTATGTATGCTTACATTGTTTTGATATTTTCAGTAGCTTCATCATGTGTTTGTGATTTCTATTAGCCGTTTAACTTGGTTTATCATTCAGTTAGCATCACAGACGCCCTAAACATTATGTGACCTCTAGTAAGTTTTTTCTACTAGAGAGTTGGTTGATCTGTTTAATAACATGAGAAACCTCCTAAAAGCTCTTCATTTTGTGATTAATCATGTTGATAATGAGGGGCTGGTAAAGATCAAAGTGTTATTTTATGAAGAAAAAAAATAAGTGCATAAATTGCACCAGGTAATTGTCGAGAGAGGGCAGAACCCCATTATTCATTAACCTTGTTTCAATTAAATCTCCTATGGTTAAAATAAAAACTTATTAAAACATAGACGTGTTAATAATTCAATTGGATATTTTCAACTAGTAAAATTTAAGAGGAATTTGCACAGATAGTGTTATTTTGCTGCTAATTTATCATACATAGTGATATTTCTGATAATTACGGTACATGACGATAATATTGAAATTTACATTGTATCTCAAATACAACTTCATTCTTTTGAAATTCTCGTATTGAAATTTACATTGTATCTCAAACATGTTTCTTTTGAAATTCTTGTACCTTTTGAAATTCCGCTTTGTATTTCAAATCCAATCTTCTGAAATTTATGTTGTATTATTGATACAGTTATATAATTTCTTCGCTCAATTTAAGTTGGATACATTTTGTTTATCAACTCTGAAATCTAGTTTTATTAGTATTAAATATAGCAATTTTAGGACAAGTCGCTCTAATATGCAACATTCGTTTAGGGGGGCTTAAGGAAGCACTCACTTTTGTTGGACACACTTTATCAATTTTATTAGATACACTGATATTCGAGTGCAATCTAAAAAAGTTTCAGAAACAATTTCGAAAATCAATAGATTCTTAATAAACTAAAAAATGTTTCTGCTACACACATGTACAATCTAGCTACATAAGTCAATAAAATCGAACAGTAATAATCACCAGTGAACTCAGCAAAATCATTAAAAGAAAGACGCATCCAAAACAGTATCATCCAAGACACGACCACGAGGTAAAATTTTATTACCATCGTTCGTCCTTGTCACGATTATATTTGACCTTTTAAACCAAAAAACAAGGCATAATAGCGCTTTTTTCACAATGACAAAAAAAATTAAAAGCCATTTGCACAGAATATGAGCACAAATCGTTTTAAAGAGAAAAAAAAATCTTGGTTTGAAAGAGGAGAAAAGGAAAATGAGATTTTGATTTGGAAATATAAAGATATATATAAAAGGGATTCATTAAGGATATATTTGTCATTTTAGCATTTTTTTTAATTGCGGTGGGCCTCAAAATTAGTTCTAACTCGCACAGAAAACGTGCATAACACATGTTTTGTCAGGAGTCGCGTGTTTATTTATAAAATTATGGGATAGTTAAAGTGTCTATTTGTAAACTGTGAAAGTTTGAGATTAAACTTAAAATTTGAAATCAAATTTAGGGGCAAATATATGTATTATGGTATTATTTAAGTATTTTGCATGACATGACCAACTATTAGTAGCAGAAATGAAGGAAAAAAGAGAGTATTTGAAGCATATGTAGATGCAAACCATATTCTCCAACTCTTAACAAAATGGACAATCAGCTAACACAGTGCATAAATTGAGATTATAGGACCTGATAAGGCGTAGTTAACTCGTGTTCTGTTTTTTTTTCAATTATAAAAAAAATGAAACCCAAAGTTACAAAGCACTAGACAACAATATTTACCACAATACTTTTTGACCGCTAGTCGAGGTTAATGCCTTCCTTTCAACAATGACATTGTGATTCTTTTGAGATGTTTAGAGTATTTGACTATGAATTGTATCACAATGTCATCAGCACTTGAATATTTGCATTTCTGTTGAAGTATTTGCTTTTAAAGATTGGATCTTGATGAATATTTATGTATTCTCAACTTCTGCGTTGACATATAACATATTGTCTGCTGACTGCTGAATTGCTCTTAGTTATCAAGCTTACTTATTAGTGTTGACTGTTGAATTCAGCATTATAGTCAATATGTTTGGTTTTGATTTTGGGCTGGACTTGGGATTTTGCGGTTGTGGGTGCTCAATTCCTTTTAATAAAAAATTGCTAGTCAAGAAAGATTTAGTTAGTAAATGAAATAAAAAAAATTAGGAAAGTGTGTTTGGCTGTTTGGCTCAGCTTAAAAGCTGGTCAAACTGACTTAAAAGCTGGTTTTTGACTTATTAGCTGTTTGGCAATACTCAAATCAGCTTATTTTAAGTTAAAAAAACTTATCTTAAGCCAAAAGTTAAAAGCGGGGGTAGAGGTGCTTTTTTTTTAGCTTATAAGCTGTTTTAAGTTGATCTCATTTTTATCTTTTTATGCTTAATATTTTTATACAATCTCCAAATTACCCATATAATCCTAACATTTCTTTCTTCCATTTTCCCTTTTCACGCTTTTAAAAGTACTTTTTTAAAGCTGCTTTTATTAAGTCCATCCAAACGGGTCCTATGAAGCAAGTTGCCTTTAACAATAAGTTGAAAGGTTACACCATGATTTGAATCCTCGGTGTGGGGCACAAATAATCTCAAAACTCAACTTTACGACCAAAGCACCTACAGGCCATTTTGTTCAATGGGTCTGCCCCGATGTGAGCCAATATGTCCGGTTTTCATTTTGGGTAGTATTTATGTAGTATAATGTGACAGAGTTGGTTGATGAACTGTGGCGGTTCAAAATTGCTAAATTTAACATCTAAATACATCAATGTTACTTAAGCTTCATCATTTGATATAGTTGCATCGGAGAACAGTTAAGACCATGGTTAATAAATGGTGTAAACTTGCCATTTTTCTGATAAGCAATATGTAAGTGTTGGTTTGGTTTTGTCAAGATTCAGTAATTGATTCTTTTCTCTGTTTGTAGTGAAAATTTGTAATTCTAAATTGAGTTCCATGTATTGTTCTATGTGCAATACACGATCGAAACAATTTTCCAAGTAATGGACTTTGAGGATGCTTGGGGTTTCCGAAGCATAGCTTTTACTTTCAAAACTTCAGTAAGATGCCCCAGTAAATCTGCAGAACCTGCAAGTTACCTCTCCTTTGTAGATGAAGCATTGATCTTAGACAGCATTACTCATTTCCCCTCAACTTGTTGAAATAAAAACTTTTTTTTTAATTGTTTTAATACTGATATGATAATAATTTGTTTTGTGTTGATGGAGCACAATTGCATATCGTCTCTTATGCTTCATAAATGGCAGTTTTATTGTTCTTGCCGTATACAATGTTTGGTCTACAAGTTAAAATCTTCCTCCTTTTATAGAATGTATCCTTGTAGTTTATGTCAAATGTCATGCTCATCTTTGGCTCAAACCTTTTTATTTTATGACAAGGTAGAGCTTTTATTGAATGGTTCTAACCTGCTACTGAGATATTGCAGCCTCGGAGTTAATTTAGGAAAAAAATTATCAACACCGGATGTTTACAAAAGCCAATGCAATCTGCTGATTTAATGGAGTAAAATGAACAATGAATTTAAACACATGACATACATGCATTAATTTGGTGTAAACATCCGATGGAGATAAGTTTTACTCGTTAATTATGCTCTCTTATGATGTAATCTGCATTTTACCTAGCGAATCGAATGATTTACTCATCAACTTCGAAAAAGAATCATATTTCGCCAATTGAATTTTCAGTTTTCTGGATCATCACTCTTTGAATGTCACCCTGATAGGGCGAGCTTATTGCAAAGGTTATAGAGCAGCTGAGAAATACACAATTAAGAATGTATAAGCTCTATACCAAGCTTCGTGTGCAAATAACGGAAGTTACTGCACAGAAATGTATTGATTCATATTTGAAATAGTCATCTCATAGAGTATATTTATTATTTTACCATTATCAATTTCGTTAGCTAGTTATAAATGGGAGAATTGAATTAAATCATCTTTTTTACGGTTGATTCGATTGTAAATTTTTTTTAACACTGATTAACTTGATTTTTATTAAAAATCATTGATTATTATTAAAAATCAATTCAATTACTGCTTTATAGTTATAGTTTGTCAATTACGATTCGTAATGACATGTTATAGAAAGGAGAGTTGCAGGCGAGATTGGGAGAGTGAAGCGAGAGGTGTGCGAGAGAGGGCAGAGAATAGAACAGAGGTGAATTGTATATGGGTATCGATTACATAATTGTAGAAATATATTTGATATATATAGAGAAGCGGGCAAGAGAGTAAATTTTTTTTATAATTTGCATTTTGTTTGTATAATTCACGGTTACGTTTATATAATTCGTGTGCTCTTATATAACTGAGTAATATAAAATCTAGTTTTATACAAAAATGACAAGACTCCAAATAATAAATTGATACAAACTTAGATATATGACCTTTAAACAACTATTACGAATTTCAAAACATGTTTATACAAACTTTTAAAAGTTATACAAATATGATGATAAAACTGAAAAACTTAAGGAAATCATCGTCATATATAAATACAAATCAAACGAATAATTATTGATTAAAAATTATATAAATGTGATAAATTATACAAATTTGAAATTAACACATATAATTAATGATTAGTGTTAGTCACAAGTAATAATTATGATAAATTATACCTACGATAATTAATTAAATGAATTTACTTTAACTAAGTAATTTTATTTTATAGTTTCCCTACTTTAAAATACTAAAGCTTTGGAATAAAGAAATGTACTCTATTTGTCGCTGATTTTGTAATTATTGTAAACTTAATAGGACACGATGGTAAACTCACAAAAATTAGGGTTTCAACTCAGCGGAGACTTCACCATGTCTTTTGCACTATATAATGAACACACCACTCAACATAATCAATAAACCTACATACAGCCGCTTACTGTTTATTCATAAAAAAAAATTCAGAAATTGGGAAAGGGATGAAGATTTTTGGGAAGCTTTTGGCGTGAGCGGTGGGGAAAGATAGATCTATCATATTAGTATGATATGATAAATCTTGCCTACACCGCCCATGCCCATGGCTTCCAATGATTTCTTCCTTTCCATACAATTTCTTCATGTTATTTTTTTTCTTTTTCAAAAAGAGCTGTGATGAGATTTAGAGATTGTCATGCACCACTCTTACAAATTTTAAATTTGAGTGATGATAAATTTCTCGTACCCATTTTGTTTCTGAGCTCTTTATACATATTGTTATTATTTTGTGGGAAATGGAAAGGGAGGAGGGATTTGGGAATCTTTTGGAGTGGGTGGGATGGAAAAATATTGTATTTTTTTTTCTAACGGAAAAAAAGATGAGAATTGAGATTTTTCCTATTCCACCCATGCCAATGGCTTCCAGTCATTTACTCCTTTTCCTTATCTGCTTTTGGTATTGCATAATTACGCTAATATTTTCTCAATTTAACATGTGTAGAAAAGATTATTGACTGAATATACAGTAAGATCTGATAAAATAAAAATTATGAGGTATTATTAGAGATTAGTTGTGTTACTCAACGTTTATTCTTCTATACTTTTACTTGTCGGAGTAATCTAATATGTTTGATAATGCATTTATGCATTATAATTGAATTAGAATTTCATATTTGTGTTAGAATTCACCAGAAAGAGTTTCCAATTATGAATTGTTTACCAAATTAATTGTGATATCTTGGTCATTGTTTCCCGGGTCAAAAAGTTGCTTGTTGTGACATGGGCTCTTCTAAATTCTAGAGTGATTCATTCGATTTTTATTGAAAAATTATATTGTATATATATACATATAATCTTAATATACACTTTTAGTGAACGACTCAAAATGAAGCACTATGTGGGATGAAAGATGCAACTCAAAAAATTTAATTGATGGGTTAGATTTAATACATTAAGATAACTCATAATTATAATTGTGAGATAATTTAGTAATTCGTAACCATTAGTTTAAATAAATGATACATTATCTCCTATATAATTAAGAACTTGTAAAAATGAACGGAATGAAAATAAAGAGGAGTCAAATCTTAATTGAAGAAGTACTAGCTATATTATATTGACACACTATATCGATCGTATATTAATTTTATATTAATAAGATAAAGACACTTTGTTTGACCAAAAGAATAGATTTTTTAATTGAAATTCATCTCTAAAATTGACAATTAAGCGCCTAAGGCTACACGCATGTATCAAGTCTTCTTTAATTTTTAAGTTTTTAATCAGAAAATCATCTCAAATATTCCTCAAATCATGTAAAAACACCTCTAAATTGTTACTTAACCATATTAAGCTGTTTCAAGTACGCATTGCTTTGTGCTAATATTGCTGGATAACTTAATTTGAGCATAAAATATTTATTAGATTGAAACATAAATGTGAGCTATCGAAAATAAAAATAAAAATGAATGTGGGCTATCGAGTGCCAGTATAAGTTGGAGATGTTATGCCATTTATTGGGCTAGGTTATTGGGCCAGAAAACTAATGTTTGCTACAATGTAAAGGAACTTCGTCTAATTGGCAAGTTTTGAATAATATTATTATTTAATGTTTGATATAATAATAATAATAATAATAATAATAATAGGAGAGTACTTACTTTTACCGTTTTATTTACTTTAAGTAATTTTGAATTTAGTATAATTTATTTTTAATTTTGTCACACACTTCAAAAATTAAAATGACTTTAGAGTAGTTTTGATCAATTTTTTAGTCAATTCAAACAGGTTTTGAATCATCTGCTAACCCATGTACTTAAAATTTACTCTCTCTATCCAATAATAGTTGTCCACTATTGATTGATATAGAAATTAAGAAAATAGTAAATGATAATATTAATTTAACCAAATCACCCTTATTGAAAATAAAACATTGAAAAAAGATAGTATTTAATAACAAGGATGAATAGGTATAAAATGATAAATTATTCATTAAAGTTATGAACTGAACAAATATCATTGAATATTTTAAAATAATATAATAAACGTGTAAAGATAAACGAAGAAAATTTTACTCTAATATCTTTCAATTTTTTAAAAAATAAGAATTTTAGCACCTTTTAAGTACCAGTCATTTTTATCATGTGACGAGTCTTAAGAATATTGTAGAGTGCATGAAAATTGAGGTTAATGTTAGTGGAAAAAAAAGAGTATTTGTTGAAGGAAGAACTTCCCTTTTTTGAGCTTTAAGCTGAATAATTTGCCTAAAGTTTGTTCGAGTTATATAATATATTATTGACTATTGTATTTTTGAATAAAACAAGTTAAGAATCTTATTGTTAAATCAATAAGATTTTTCGGCGAAATATTCACAATTTTTAATATATTTTATTCTTATAGTTGTGTTTTCACTAGAGCCATCAATATGTTGGACCGACTTGTCTAATTGTTATTTAATAAGATTGGGCTAAGATTTTGGAGTTCATTTTAAAAAAGAGTTTTTTAGCCCAATCTGAATAAACCTGTTATTTGTGCGGTTTAAAAAATATCGATAGGACCGATCTGTGAGCTAATAAAAATTAATTAAAAATATAAGATAATATTAAAATTTAAAATGAAAGAAAGGTCAAACTCAAAATGATTAGGTTAATATTTCTATTTAGATATTTTTAATTTTACTTGAAAAAGAACTTAATAAATATTATCAAGATAATTCTATTTATAAATTTGATTAACAAGTTGTATTATAACATTAATATCATGTAATATTATTTTGTCGATATCTATGATACTATTTTTAAATTATAATTTATAATTTAATTTAATAATTATAAAAAAAGAAAAATAACAAAAATCTCTTCTTAAGTTCACGTATTACCCTTAGGCTTTATCCCCTATTAGTTTTAAAAATCCTTCATTTTTAAGTCAAATAAGGCGGATACAAAAATATGACAAAAAATGAGACGGATACAAAAATGTGATAAAAATGAGACAAATACAATAATATAAAAATTAGGTGGATACAAAAATGTGACAAAAATGAGGCGGATATAAAAATGTCACAAAAAATATATAATGTATCCACCACCTTTTTATTGTATCAGCCCTATTATGTATTCGTGTTTTTGTATATTTTTTAGGGATGTCGCTTATTAGAAACTTATAAGGGACAAATGGTCATTTAGCCCTAAAAGTATGTTATTTATGTCATTTGCCCTAAAAAAATTATATAATTTTTAAAGAAGTGGGCTAGCCCGGCAAGTTGTAGCCCACGTACGTGTGGGTTGAGCCGATCATTTTTTGTCCCGCAACAAAAATGGGCTAGCCCGGCAAGTTGTAGCCCACGTACTTGTGGGTTGAGCCAATCATTTTTTGACCCGCAACAAAAATGGGCTAGCCCGACCTAACCCGTAAAATGTCAAATATGTATGGGATAGCCCGGATGGATGGGCTAACCCATATTGACGGCTCTAGTTTTCACCAACAATTTTAGAAAATTTTAACAATTTTTTTTTCAATGAGAACCATTTTTTGAGAAATATATGGAAATGCAAAATAATTTTTCCACTTAAATCTTCACTATATATATTTCTTACGTCTAAGCATAAAAGAATTCAAACAAAGTAGACAACTGATTCATGAATCGATAATCTTATTTCTCTTCAAAAAGAAATTGGGAAAGGGTTTGATATATCCCTTAACTTTGTTATTTGGAGTTGATATACACTTCATTATGAAAGTGGCTCATATATAACCTTACCGTTAAACAAACGGCTCACATATACCCATGCCGTTACAAAATGAGCTCATATATACCCTTCATTTAACGGAAGTTAAAAAATTAGTTTTAAATTTATATTTTTTACTTTTAATTTTTTTTAAAAATAACTTAGGGTATATATGATTTTTCTATCAAAGTTCATGGTATATTTTAATTTCTTTCACTCATAAATTATTTTTTTACTTCTTTTATTATAATTATTTGAATTTCTTATTCTTATTTTTTTTCTTTCATTCCTTAGTGTAAAGCGAGAAAAAAATAACTATTTTTTTTGTCTCTATTGTAATTTAATTTTGTATTCGAAGAAAAAAATTTGATCATCTACAATAAGTTTTACAAAAATATTAGTGAAACATAAATTTGATTATCAAAATAATATTTCTAGCTAGTCATTGAAACAAAAAAAAGTAACAAAAAAAATCTATATATTTATACTTTTACTTGAAAAAAAATTAATATATAGAGATAATTTCAGAGACCTCCCTCCAGGCTTCGCTCTATAACACTCGCATTCCCTGTGGTTTACGATATTACATCTACCTCCCTTATTTTCATTTACTTGTAACCATTCTTTAAACCTATTTAAAATAAATAAAAATTAATATAGATTTGATAATTTTACTCTTTTTTATATAAATTTCTTCTTATTAATAAATACTATATAAAAATTAACTCATTTAACAAATACTTAAAAATAAATTAACACAAAGACTTGTTTTTTTAATTCAACAAATATCAAAGTCTTCAACTAAGTTGACCACATTTTCACCAAATATTAACTCTTTATCTCTATTTCACCTTTACCAATTCACGTAAATTTTTTCCTCACATTATCCATCATTTTCCAGCAACAATTTCTTCAAATAGAAGACAAAATTGAATTTTCCAAGAAAGAAATTCGATAAGAACGATAAGATTTTGTTCTAGTTAAACATTCACACAAGCGAAGAAGAAACATGATCCAACGAATGAAGATAAATCATTGAAAATTAGATCTAAACATTCATATATAAGGGTAAGTTTGTCGAATCTAAATTAATTGATATTTATTTAAATAGGTTTAAAGAATGGTTACAAGAAAATGAAAATAAGGGAGGTAGACGTAATATCGAAAACCACAGGAAAGGTGAGTGTTATAGAGCGAAGTCTGGAGGGAGGTCTCTGAAATTATCTCTATTTATTAAGTTTTTTTTCAAGTAGAAGTATAAATATATATAAATAAAAATATTAACCTAATTATTTTAAATTTAGACTCTCTTTAATTTTAAATTTTAATATTATATTATATTTTTTCATTAATTATTATTGACCCACGGGCCGGCCCTACCTATATTTTTCAATCCCATCAAATTAACAGACTTATTCAAGCAGGGCTAAAAAACATTTTTCTTAAATTGGCTTCAAAAATCTTAGTACAACCTTATTAAATTCCAAGTTAGACCAGGTCGGCCCAATGAGCCTAGCCCATATTGACGGCTCTAATTGTGTCTGTATCATTAACTTATAACAGATGACATATTAATAATGGACATTCATTTTAGGACATGTATTTTTCTTTTTCCAATTTTATAGTCATGGACGTGCAAATTGATTTTGTATTTATTTTAAGTGTATAAATGTAACGAACTGTTTAGTCGTTTTGAGCAGCAGATTTTATTTCTGG